GTTCCTTTAAAGAGTCTGATGAATCTTCTTTTGTTGGTTCGAGAGAAAAGAAATCTCCTTCTTTTAGATCAAAATTCTCTATACATAAATTAATAATTTCATGAAAAACTTGACCTTAAAGTAGGCTAAGATCGTTAGAGAAAATGAAAAACTCTAAAATGGAAAAAATCCTAGATAGTTAGAAAACTAGCATAATAGATAATTAAGAAACTCTGAATAATGAAAATAATATATCTGGTAAAGCTTCTAAATTATATTGATGTATTTCAGTATATCTTTTAGTTTAGATACTCTCAAAATTGTGATTATGATCATCATCGAGTATTCTATTAACTTACACATTCAACAAAGAGTCTTTGAATCTTTGGATCTCTCTACGTTTTGAAAGAATCTTCTTGATGAATCAAACTGTCGGAGTTTCATGCGGGATCTGGCTCAAGTTTTTAAAATAAGGATCGTCTCTGAAACAACTCGGCAAAAGCATCATTCAGGTTTCACTTGCCTTGGTTATTTGCACTTATAGAGATCTACTAATTTAGCCATTTTACACTCTTAGAGATCAACTAATGAATTAATCTTTTGGTCCAAAAGCATAATCGTTTGGTATGAGTATCTCTCTCTAAACCCTAGCTTTGATTTATAGGCTGCATAAATGAAGAGCAGAAACAATGACGAAATCGAGCTTGAAGAAGCACTTGCTAGAGAAAAAGAAAACTTAGAAAAGTTACTACTTGAGTGTTACGAGCAAGATAAATCGCATTTACAAGCTAAAGCCTTGGAGCAAATGCACCAAGGGAATTTGCATCTTTGGAAAGAAACAGAATATGTTCATGCTATAGAACGAGAAAGGTTAGAGAGAGTAAAGTGTGAACATGAACTAGTCAAAGGGCATGTTGAAGTTTACAAGAGAGATGTGTATGCGATGCGAGAAGAGAGGGACAATGCTCTCAAATTAGTCCATGAGATCACAACAAAGCATGAGAATATGTGTTCCAAGGCTAAGGAGTTCGAAAGCAGGTACAAGGTCGAACTAATTCTCACGAAAGCTCTTATTGAAGAAAAACAAGAGATCACAACAAAGCATGAGAAGATGTGTCTCAAGGCTGAGAGGTTCGAGAGCAAGTACGAGGGCGAGCTAGTTCTCACGAAAGCTCTTATGAAAGAAAATAAGAGATCACAACAAAGCAAGAGAAGTTCTATTATGTTTTGTCTTCTTCTGCCTTTGTTGATTAGGCTTGAGTGTTGGGCTGGTCTTCACTTGGGCCTTGTTTTCGTCATTCACATTAAGGCCCACTGGGTTATTGATCATACTTC